ATGTAGTATGTTGTCTTTTGTCTTCGGTGGTAAGTTCGAATTAGCTGCTATAGAGACCATTTTTTCGCGACAAAGTTATAACATTGTCAAGGTTATGTTGCAAAGTACAAAGTGTCAATGTACGTTTCTCCGCATGAAACAAACAACATCTGTTTTTTTATCATGTAGTGTACAACCACGTGTTCTATTACGACTATTTCCTGAGGAAACTGGTTTCGGCTCGGGTGCTTTGCCTTGCCAGACAGCACCACAGGGAGCAATGGTTCCGAGATAATGCGCTGTTACATTTTTAATACATTCCATGAAATCTGATTATTTGAGAAATAAAACATGACAGTTATCGTGAAGCAAGGAAACCTATTTTCAAACAATCGAATTGTTTTGACAATAACATGACCGAATCTACCTCGCAATCTATCACTTTCAACACAATAGTACTTCACTCACCGTCGAGCCGCCATTTAACAGACAACAGCATCATCAGTGATACCTTTCCACACTGAAAGAACTTTTGCGACCTCACAAGAGGTACATTGTAAAGTGACGAAGGAAGGCACAGACAAAGTTCTCGTAGTCTTGTTCAACCAGACTCTTGTTGTCTGCGCAATCTACGTGCAACATTTCAAAGTGATCAAGCGTCTAGTTGTTCGAGATTATTTTTTGGAAAAAAGTTCCTTCCGGTGTATGGCTTTGAAGAGTTAGTCACCAATCCACCACAACAGTCATAGCAAACGTTGAAACGTACAAGAAATCAAATTTAAAACATGGTTTGAAAGGTTAATAGCTTGCAACATTCAGGAATTTATATGAATATCAAAGTTGTTATTTTAAGATATTTTGTAATGTTGAACAAAATATTGATAGCGATTACCTGTTCCTGTAGGTATATGGTACTGAAAAGTTGTGAAACTATCTTTGGAATTAACTATAAATGGTAGACTGGTCCCCGTCTCTATAATATTGAACTATTTAGAGAGAAAAAAAAACCAATGACAATTTTGATCACTTGGATGTCTGATTCTAAGTTACTGTTAGTAGTAAAATATAGCCGGGAAATTCTTCATAAAAGCTTAGGGGCTGGTAGCCAGTCTATATAAATGGTGTCGCAATCTTCGGGTTTTTAGTCGGTAGTGTAAAAATATACTTTATGTGCGAAAAAACTACGCTCACCAGGTCTGAGTGTATAGAACTTGTTTTGTTAGTACTTTTCTCCTTGCTAAAACACTCGTTCGTAACACACACCTACAGAAACTATAGACTATCAGTGTCCAGCGGTCGAGGTGTAGGTCAAGCACAGGCCTTGGTCTACTGACGTCATAAGGACACCTCTAAGCGTCTTCACAACACGGATTACCAGTCTCGCCCTGTATGGCCTGGGGTCCTTCAGTCATGTTAGTGTATTCTTCACAAACGCATTAATCAACCCTTGCGTCTCATTACAGCCCATCTTATGCCACGGGCGGCCATTTATAGACAAATTACAAAACTTTACACTTTGTTAGATAACTAAACTTGAGACCAAACAGGGCGTAAGGAAGTGCTTTTCACACACTGTACAATGTGTAGTGTAGCTGTGGGTCAAGTATACGTTTCATTAAACGTCTTTGAACTGATCATGACCAGTAGGAGTTGACTGACATAATGAATTGGAACAAACGATAGTTTTAAAGATGGACAAACAAAGTAAGTTTGCAACAAGTCGCTATATCCCCGAGTAAACTGAATACATATACTTCATTGGGTGAGTAAGGCGATGCTTTATCTAAACATGTACCTGTTTGTCAATTTGAGCGGGTCCCCCTGCCCTTGCCGAAAACTGTATCTACGAGACCTGGTTTTAAACAAATTCCTGCAGGGATACTTACTCGGCGAAACATATTCCAACTATCATTTGTCTATGCGACATTCCATCATGTAGGTAGTGCTTGTAACTGCATATAGGTATTTGTAACAATGCGTATCACGGCGAGATTGGAAGGGTTAAGGCTAGTCCAATTATACCGTTGGTATAGTCTGTCACTTAACGCTCCGGAGTTTGCTTCCATAAGTAAGAATACCCCGAGTATCAAATGAACTTCTGTATAAAACGTTTTAATAGTCAGCTGTATTGAGGTCAAGGCCACAATAAGAATAATAAACCGAGAGATATACAATGTAGTTTACACGAAGGTAGATATTCCGTGAATAGCTGACACACGCCAGCTATCGGGTCGTGGGATAGCTATGGGCTGCTATTGTAAACTGTAGGTATAAGCATTGTAATGACCAAGGAATGTGTATTCACGCACCCGGGGTATTAACAAGTGTGCAGTGATGTCAAATTTCGTTGTTGACACCTTATTTGCCAACACCTACTGGCTGTATTTGCATAATTGGTATGTATGTAACGGTTGACGAGTGTAACGCCGTGGACATACGTACAGGTAACGTTAAGCGGTCGGATGACCAATGCCTGATTTTGGTATTAACGTTTTCTCATACAACCACTATAGTTTTCCTCACTCACATCCTCGATATCCAGGGGTTACGCTCACTTTCGCTTTAGAGAGCGAAAGTGAGCGTAGTCTCGTTCAACCAGACTCGTGTTGTCTGCCAGGTCTGGCTGAGCCAGACTAAGGATATCGAGAATGCCTCACTCACGACTCGATGGATAAACCTGCCAGGAGTTTGTTAACATTTTTAGCTACCAGCTCCTGAATGTGATTTCATAAGACAATATTTAAGTATGACATAACGTCAAATACTTCCTTGGGACGTCATGACTGATGGCAAATGTTTCACCCCTACGAAAACAGTAATAAAGCTTTCCCAAACAGTTGGTGATTGGTTATCATGTTTATCTAATTCGAGTTAAATAATTTTCAAATCGTATAAAGACATGAGGTTTAAGGAGTGCCTTTAATGATATGAAAATTAACTAACGCCGTTTATTAAACGTACTGTCCCTACTACAAATGAAGCTAGTGAGACGGTCTTTGTCCCATTAGAGTTCGTAACAACACTTTTCCCTCATATACAGTCAGTAAACATATGTCAGCTTTAGATACATGCTAATATGTTAAACATATTTAAAGATCGTATGGCTTGTGATAGGGACAGTCATTACACGGGTTAACACACTGGGCCTCTTTGTCGCGAGGGTCACGCTAGCTATCTTTGTCACTGACAAGTCATGTCCGAGAAGGGTTTATACCTTAATACCAAGTTAAATGAACTGGTAGGATTCCACGACACTTAGTACGAAACGTCTATAGAATCATGTGATTTAGTGGAACAAAACTGTGGTCTGTTTGCAGGTACAAAAAGTATCAATGTCACTAACCCATTTACAGCACCAAAATGTATATTGTAATGTTTTATCTTGCTGTCCTTATTTTCCTTCAGTAATTAGCATGTGTCGTATGTGTCGTATGTTTGTATGTTGCCCTTGTTGTACCTGTATACACAGGGCCAGACCTTGGTGTACCTGTATACACAGGGCCAGGCCTTGTTGTACCTGTATACACAGGGCCAGGCCTTGGTGTACCTGTATACACAGGGCCAGGCCTTGGTGTACCTGTATACACATGGCCAGGCCTTGTTGTACCTGTATACATAGGGCCAGGCCTTGTTGTACCTGTATACACGGGGCCAGGCCTTGTTGTACCTGTATACACGGGACCAGGCCTTGGTGTACCTGTATACACAGGCCAGACCTTGTTGTACCTGTATACTCGGGGCCAGACATTGATGTATTTGTATACACAGGGCCAGGCCTTGTTGTACTTGTATACACACGTTCAGGCCTTGGTGTACCTGTATACACAGGGCCAGACCTTGTTGTACCTGTATAAACAGGGCCAGACCTTGTTGTACCTGTATACGCAGGGACAGACCTTGGTGTACCTGTATACACAGGCCAGGCCTTGTTGTACCTGTATACACAGGGCCAGACCTTGTTGTACCTGTATACACAGGGCCAGGCCTTGGTGTACCTGTATACACAGGGCCAGGCCTTGGAGTAGCTGTATCCACAGGGCCAGGCATTGTTGTACCTGTATACAGAGGGCCAGGCCTTGGAGTAGCTGTATCCACAGGGCCAGGCCTTGTTGTACCTGTATACACAGGGCCAGACCTTGGTGTACCTATATACACAGGGCCAGGCCTTGGTGTAGCTGTATACACAGGGCCAGGCCTTGGTGTACCTGTATACACATGGCCAGGCCTTGGTGTAACTGTATACACAGGGCCAGACCTTGTTGTACCTGTATACACAGGGCCAGACCTTGGTGTACCTATATACACAGGGCCAGGCCTTGGTGTAGCTGTATACACAGGGCCAGGCCTTGGTGTAGCTGTATACATAGGGCCAGGCCTTGTTGTACCTGTATACACAGGGCCAGGCCTTGTTGAACCTGTATGAATATGGCCAGGCCTTGATGTACCTGTATACACATGGCCAGGCCTTGGTGTACCTGTATTCACAGGGCCAGGCCTTGGTGTACCTGTATACACAGGGACAGACCTTGTTGTACCTGTATACACAGGGCCAGACCTTGTTGTACCTGTATACACAGGGCCAGGCCTTGTATGAGCACCATCATAAAGACTAGGTCTGTTTTGAACACAAACAGGAATAGAAAACTCCTTTTGCGAGCTTTCGAAAACGTCTGTTTCCTTTGTCAAGTAAATAGTACAAATGTCCGGTGTCTCGACTCTAACAGCTATTTGATGTTTTTTCCCCAGTGGTTTAGAGTTGAGACACCGGTCATTTGCACTATTTGCTTGACAAAGGAAGCAGACGTTTTCGAAAGCTCGCAAAATAAGTTTCAATTCCTGTGTCTTTATTATTTATATCAAACTGATGAATCTTATTCCGAATAAGAGATCACTCATCTTTTCTCTCTCGTGTGTCAACTTCATTTGTAAAACATTAAGTCCACCCGTTCAATTTTTTTGTTAAATGTTGGTTTGACATTTTACCTCCCTTGACCATACAAGTATTCTATTCTGTGTTACAGGCTGGTTTGAAGTACTGCCCGAGGACGGACGACCGGTGGAATACTTTGATTCAATCCAGGCCATCACCAACGTGAAGCCACGGCGGTTCCTAGTGCGAACGGCCACAGTGGGCTACCAGCTGAGCGCGGAGTCTGGCGTGAACTCTTGGGTGCCATACGAGATTCGCCCTGGGGCCGTGCTCACTACCGGAATCATATTCATGGATCAGAAAAAGAGTAGAGCCAACGTCAAGAGCTTTTTCAAAAAACTGTTACGGACACACAGAAGCGGTAAGAAGGAACAAGACCTTAAATACTTACAGTGTTTTGACACTAACGGTACAGAAGTAATGATTCCAATAATCATGTCGGGAGTTTTCAGTCCCATCGGGGAGACTGCAGAGGAGAACTTCGACAGTGTATACGAGCTACAGGACTTAATACTTGCCTTTCATTTACCGGTGAAGGCCCAGCTGATCCACGAGGAGGACCAGGAGTGTCCTAACATAGTGCCTCATGGTATCGTTAGGGTCGAGGAAGTGCGGGACACAGAGTGGGTCGTGTTTGGTAGATATCCGATCAGCAATGCAGATGAGGATGTGTTCGAACTCCCAATGGATGCCGATATACAGTTACAAAAAGACATTTCTAGGAAACGAAAATCTAAAAAACAATCACCGCCAAAACTAGACCCGCATGTCAACAAGGAGGAGCATGTATACGCGAACGCCGAAAAGAAGGAGATAGAACTTCCTGTGAGAGTCAAAGAACAAAAGAAAAACAAAGTGGGACTTTTCGATAAATTAAGTGTTCGGTCAAAAACAAGAAAAGAGCGAGCAAGTCTGAAAGCATTGCAGGTGGCTGGGGTGTTCACGTCGCGGCTGAGCAAAAGTGAAGTAAACTTTCAGGACATGGGAAGCCCTGAAATGGCAGCGGACACTGAAGACGCGGAGGAGGGAAGGACAAGCGACCCCGATGACGGCGAGCGCGACAAGGGTGATATCCCTCCGTCTCTTTCAGACGACTCGGAGGATAAAGTGACATACACAACCGTTGCGTTCAACGGACCACCGTATGGGACATTCACTGGGTCGACACTTGGTCCTCAGAATCGTGATCTTCCTCCCATACCAAAAAGTCCAGGTTCGGAGAAAGAGGCTCTCTATGAGGAACTACCAGTGGCCCCCAAACCCCCGCCTATCGATCCAGGAGATTTCGGGTGTGGCCTGAGCCCGTCGGAGGCGGATCTTCCCGACACAGTTCATTCGGTGCACGGTGCGCTTGGCGACAAGGATGATGACGAGGACGGATACATGAGCCCAGCCCAGCTACGACTAAGAGCGGAACAAACGTACGCAGTGGTTCGCAACAAACCTCCGACGGCGCCACCTCGCGAAGCGAAACTCATGCGAGCGCGAAAAGCCCGCAGTGAAATTCCAAGTAACTATAGTTATGATGTTAGTGATGTAAAGGAAAATAACGAAAAGGAAATAGATGACCTTTTCCGATTCACTTTAGAAAATGACAGAAAGTTTGCAAAAGATGGACCGTATGCATCGTCAGAGTATAAAACAACAGTGAACGCTCAGACTGTGCATGAACCTAACACGTTTTCCTACGAGAATGCTATGAAGTTTGTGGACGACCAATGCCTGGAGACTCGTTCAAACTCGGGTATGCCAAAATTTAAATCGCGTTCGCACAGAAGTTTGAATTTTGATGCCAACGCGACAGTTCGTAGTCATAATATCCGTAAAATGAAGAACGCTATGGACGTTTTCAATTTTAGTGACTCTTTCCAGGATTTGCACCGCAATAACAGAACTTTTCACGATAATGACATTTCCTCAGGCATGCCATCCGGAGCTACCGCAAACTCTATGTACAGCTCGGCCATTGATAGAAACCCGTACAGCTCGCAGTACGCGCGCTCAAACGTCTACCCGGAGAGCGAACCTGGTTTCAAACGATACGCTCGCTCGGCCTCCGTCTCTGGCCTAAGTGAACATCTGACTCGCCAGGCAGATGACTCTGCCATATCCGGGGACTATGGTTACCATGGCGACAGTGAGTATAGTTATCAGGAATATTCCGAATATCACGATGACCACTGGGTTCCTCCAGATGACCTTTCGTCGTTGACCGTTCTGGAGGTGTCCAAGTCGCTCCACTATATCGGTATGAAGGACAGAGTGGTTATTCGACTGGCTAACGAACAAATAGACGGCAGCCTTTTATGTTCCCTCGACAAACAGCTTCTGAGAGAAGGCTTCCCGGAACTTAATGCTCTGGACGTCAAGAAAATTCTGGACTTTATAAACGGATGGAGACCAAAAAAGAAATGAATTGCAGTTCTTGAACGCCTCATAGGGTTATCCTCAAAGCAAACCGTATTCCATTGGCATTGGTCTTTTCACGGCGAAACAAACGTTATGGACGTTGTGAGGAGAAGTAGCATACACATTATGAAAATAAGCAATATTGAAATCCCAGGAGACTCTTTGATATTTGTGTATAAAGATATGGAAATTGAGGAATTTTGCATAGGAAAACATATCGTTGACATGGAAAATTTAGAGTTTTTAGCTCATCTGGTCCGAAAGACAGAGGTGAGCTTATGCCATACCGTGGCGTCCGTCGTCCGTACGTCAACAATTTCTTCAAAAGACTTCTTAACCACTCACTGGAATTTAACTAAATTTGAATGGGAGCATCCCTAGATGGTGGGAATTCAAATTGTACAAATGGTGGGGGCTGACCTCCCAGGGGGCTGAGGAGCGGGGCCAAAAGGGAGCAATTTGGCTATATTGCTACAAACGACTTCTTCTGTAGAACTATACCATGGATATCAATCATATTTGACCAAAAGCATTTATGGGTGGCAGGGAATCAAAAATGTACAAATGGTGTGGCTGACCCCCTAGGGGGCTGAGGGGCGGGGCCAAAAGTGGGCAACTTGGCTATATTGCTGCAAACGACTTCTTCTGTAGAACTATGCCAAAGATATCAAACATATTTGACCAAAAGCATTCATGGGTGGCAGGGATTAAAAAAAATGTTTAAATGGTGTGGTCACCCCGAAGGGAGCTGAGGGGCGGGGCAAACGAGGGCTTTTTGGCTATATTGCTGTAAGCGATTTCTTCTCTGGAATCAAGAGATGGATAATAACCATATTTGATTAGAAGCATTCCTAGGTGGTGGGAATCCAGAATTGTACAAATGGTGGGGCTGACCCACCAGGGGGCTGAGGGGTGGGGCCAAATTTGGCTATGTTGCTATAAACGCCTTCTTATGTTGAACTTTGCCATGGATATCAATAATATTTGGTTGGAAGCATTCATGGGAGGCGGTGATTCAAAATTGTACAAATGGTGTGGCTGACCCCCAGGGGTCTGAGGTGTGGGGCTAAAACAGGTTTATTTCTTGGAAATGGTTGTGATCCCCACCACATAACCTTATATGCAATTGCTGAGTATAAAGGGATGAAAGCACATACGCTTCCAGGATAGCCTCGGGGTCTGCCCCCCCCCCCCCC